GAGAAACGTACAGAATTTCAGTGCTACCTCGTTTATTCTACCTGTATCAGGTAGCGTAATTTTCTGTTGTTTCTTTAGCATATGTCTTTACTAAAATAATAGAGAGAAAATGCATTTATCCTTCTGGAGTGGGTACTACTCTACTATCTTTTACTAAATCTTCAGTTGATGGTCAGACATTTAACGTGCAACTTATATTTTCGCCGATTTAAATATATTTTTGATAAGAACGTATGTCTGACGACTAAACTTGATTTTTTTCTGTGATTCAATTTCATAATTACAGCAATCCTTTAATTAATTTTTGTTTGTTTATATCGTTCCTTGATAGCGAGTCAAGTGTAATACGAACGTTGGGGATATATATAGTAAATTTGTTATGCGGCTTGAACTGATAGGGACTCATTGACTCCTTGCTGTTTTAAATGTACTGGTTTTGATATTTGATATTTTTCGTTTGATTATTTAAATTGTGTCAGTGTAACTGCAAATGCCAACTTTCAGGATTCGACAAAACCGCAGAAGCCGGTGTTGGAGTGGGATCAATGGAACAGCGTCGTGGTTTCGGTCGTGGGCGACAGATGTGATTACAGTGTTTTATGTCGAATATGTTTTGCGGAAATAAATAGTACTTTTTGCGTTTTTGCGTAATATTTGCTCTCGGTGTTCCGACTTCCAGATGCTGCTACGTTTTTTTCGAAACCTAGTTTTTTATGTATGAGGTAGTACTTAATACGTCAATATTTAATAATATTTGAGTCATTCATATATTTGTGAATCTTGGGTGACATTTAAAGATTTTCCAAAATATATCATCATCAGCCTTTTTCGATCCACTGCTGATGAAAGCCTATCTAATACTTTTGCATAAATCTGTTTCTGTTTTGTACAATCTCATCTACCTTTATCCAGTGAGCTTCTTCATTTCATCCTAGCATCGATATGCAGGTCTTCCTACTGGGCATTTCCTGGAACCCAGTCTACTATTTTTGATCGCTTGTTCTTGTGTAGTACCGTATGCATTTCAATTTCAACTTCTTCAATTGGGCAGTGGCACATTTCGCATCAGACTGTGGCACAGGGCAGCACACACTGATCGTAAGGTCCGTTTCAAGCACAAAGTTTTCTGAATATGAATATTTTCAGTCTTCCAAAAGTTCTGAATGGCAGTTTCACTCTTCTGTTGATATTTCTAGAGTCAGTTCTGCGTTGGGAATTGAAGGATGATCTGTCCGAAATAAACGTAGTTTTGCACATCTTGAAGGGTAGATCTTTTGTCTTAAAACGATGGCTATTCCAAGATGTATGACTGTGTGTGATGGTCATTGTTAATTAATACACAACGCGGTTTAGGATGTTTCATGGCTGACGAAATCCAGGAGGGAGTTTTGGACTGTTTGAAGTCGATCATAACAGTTAAGGTTCATGTGTTTCTCAAGTCTCACGACGATAGTCAGTGAACTGTACAAATATTTGTTAATTTTTGTACTGTTTGTGTGCCGACGCGGTCGTCTAATCAAAGACAGCGTTTAACTGTATCTAATTTGTGATCAAAGGCACCTAACTGTTGGGAAACTTATTGCCAGCGCATTTCGCTACCATATTGGTAGCATCAGCAGTGCACTGTTAAACGTTTACTATTTATTTTTTCAAGAAGTACAGTCGAGAGATGGAGGCATTGATCGACCGCGTTTACTACTCTTTCTTGGTGTGCCCGAATTTGCGCCTGAAGAAACCGCGGTGGTTCGCTCGACCGTCGGCGATGACCGTGTTCGCTCTCAGTCTCGTACTGTATTTCCTCATTTCTGGAGGTATCATTTACGATGTTATCGTTGAACCGCCGAGCGTCGGCTCCACGGTCGACGAGCGTGGCAACACAATCCCGGTGGCTTTCATGCAGTACCGTGTCAACAGCCAGTACATAATGGAGGGATTGGCAGCCGGCTTCATGTTCGTCTTCGGCGGCATCGGTTTCGTCATACTCGACCAGACAACCAGTCCGACTATGCCAAAGTTGAATCGTACGTTGTTGCTCGGTCTCGGTTTTACTTGCGTCTTGGTCGCCTTCTTTGCGTGCAGAGTGTTTTTCAGAATGAAGATGCCCGGCTATCTTATGACATGATTTGGCTTTGTTTTTAGTTTTTGTTTCTGTTATTTATTTTCTTTTGGAGTAAACTTTCTTCATTTCGATTAACTTTTTTCTCTATATCTTGTTTTCTTCTACCGTATTCAGAAACGTGTATTTCCTTATATGTGAGCTGACTTTGTAGAAATCATGCCAAAACACAAACCAGTTGAAAATGGCGAAAAAGCGTCCTCTGAAAGCACGGAAGATGAACTTGAAAACCTAATCAAAGACACTTCAGTCAGTCTGCTGGATATGCTGAGGCAGTGTCATAGAAATCGAATCAAATTCGAACAGCATCGTCACCTGATACTCAACCTTTATGAAAAAATTCGAAAGGAAGACGGAAAGATAACTCATTATTTTAGGTATCATGATTTGATCTTTTCTTGAAATGTCGCCTTAAAAATGAGAGATGACTTATTTCTTTATATTCAACTTGCAATCGCTTATATGTTCGCTGTGAGAGCAAGGTGACGCTTCTTTAACAGTTCTTGAACATTTCTGCCACTTAATCGTTCGACAGCCCATCTGACATGATGCTAAAGCCATTGGTTATATGGCCGATGTCTCCCCAAGCTTTATTCAGAAAATCGAAGTATTTTGATTACGAAGAGATATTTCTAGCGAAGGCGGATAACCAGCGTTTAAACCTAATGGAACAGAGCTTCTTTGCCGCTTCCATATAGCTGACGAGCAGGAGTGACGTGTCGTTGACTCTGGTTAGTGCATCAAAGTTTTTCCTGTTGGCCTGTTTACTGTTAGACACTGAAGGGTAGATATCAGAGAGTGTCCATTGTTGAATTGAATCATGTAAAGGGAACGCTCAAAAGTACGTTTCCGGCTTTCTTTGTAGCTTTTATGCAATAACCAATCAGGCCAAAAGTATCAGCTGACATCATATGTTTAAGAAAGAAAATGTGGGTGACACTTACACACGAAAAATACCTCAGATTATCAGAGATGGATATTCATTACTTCAAAAGAATTCAGAGCTTTGAAAAGTAGTTTTGTTTTGGAAACAACCTATTTCACTGTTAGCGATTAGCCATGATCACAGTGCATACATGCTCTAATTTTGGTTCAACTTTGATTAGAATCATAAATTTGAACATGAAATAAAATTTTAATGAATTACAGTAAATGATATCCGTGTTTCGTAGTACTATTGTGCCGTTATGGCAGTAATATGCACATGCGCAAAATCGAAGCGACGAGCCTAACATGACTAAACAGCTGTTATATTATGCACTAAATTTATTCGTATTTTGTTCGTTAACATGGATATATTTACCATTTGTATATAATCACGTGCCTAACTTTAACAGCACTTTTGTATTAAAATATCTCAAAAACATTTGTCGAAAGGGCCTTGTTTCCATTTACTGACGCAATGAACTTCGTTTATGATCGGAATAGGGCATATTAATGGAAATTTTACCTATCATGTTAGGTTAACAATTTCACCAGGTTATTCCATGAACATCTTTGCTTCAAATTCAGTAAATGCGCAATGTGATTTCAGTAGCACCAAGTAATTAGAACACATTTTAAACATTCGAGATACTTAAAACTGCTTTTGGCAACGTTTTCTTTTTAGGTCGAAAATAAAGACACTTTATCAGAACGGTGTCAAGGACTATGGTCTTGAGGTGTCAGAGCTTCGCAATGCGTTGAACAAAATCCACGAACTTCGAAGGCTAAAGAATTCACAGCGAACGATTCTGAGAAAGAGAATGCAGCAGAGCTCCCGTCCAGACGCCGCGCATCATCAAACGTGCGCTATCAGACGCGGCACCCTGATGCTCCTTTTACAAAACGCTGCTGATACATTGCCATTGTGGATTGGGTCGTTAGGAGAGAAGCCTCCAAGTCTATGCGGGGCGATTCCGGCAGAACCTAATTACGTATGTAAACAGGGGGACCTGGTTGCGGCACGAGTTAAAAGCAGTGAAGGCGACGACAACTGGATTCTTGCCGAGGTTTGTAGCACTTCACCGTTTGAGGGCCTGTCAACGTCAATGACTAACTTTTTGACTTAGGTGAAGAGTTATGACAGCATTTCTGGAAAATACACGGTCGAAGACATCGACGAGGAACAAAAGGAAAGTCATGTGATAACTCGCAAGAAGGTCATCCCTGTTCCTTTGATGCGAGCGCATCCGACGTTGAACCCTGAAGCAATTTTTCCATTGGACGCTGAAGTTTTAGCCCTTTATCCGCAAACCACGTGCTTTTATAAAGGTGTTGTACAAAGTCCGCCAGCGAAACCAAATGATACCTACCTTGTTGCTTTCGAAGACAATTCCTACCCTCAGGGCTTCTCTCAACCGCTGACGGTTCCTCAGCGTTACATTGTTTCCTTCTAATGACAACATAAAAATATTGAATGCACGTATGTAAATTAACTATGTCATGAACTAAACTATAAACTATTAAAAGTTTTATGTACATAAACAAAGACTGACGAGGTACAGCAAAAATCGATGTGAAACAATCCATTATGCAACGTCGAAAATTTATATAGGACTCTTTCAGTTAGTTCTGTTCTACTATTGTGTCATCAACGGTTTCGATCTAGAAAAGACATTTCGATAATTAACATATAGAAAACACTATGAAAAAGTGAAATTAGCTACTACACTTATTCAGTTACTTATACCGAATTTGCACGGCGAAAACGTGCCATTGAAAGTAAATTTTTTACTTTACGACGATAATTTAGCGGCAGTTTACGACATATCGAAGTCATTATACCGGGTTGTATTGCCCTTTTCTTCTAATCGCCTGATGTAGAGGGCGTTTAAATTCCACGGAGCCGTGGCCAGCTTAAATGTCTTATGTAATCAACTCCTTTGCTCGTACTCATTCATTCCTAGTTTTTTTATCTTTCCCGACATAATGCCTTTCCATGCTATGTTATGCAGTCTCCAGTTTATAAATAGCTTTCAGGTTTAGCACTTCAGAGAGGTGTTAAACACTGATTCTCGGAGTTTCAAAGAGATAGGAACTTCAGATGATTCAAGTTATGCGCCGACATTAAGTCATCCTGAAGAGCAAACTGAAGATTTTTAAGAAGGACTTTAACATGTCCAGGTTAATTATACCGTCGTTAAGTGTATTCTTTCTCGCGAAAAATCATCCTTGACGAAGGGAAACATTTCCGAAGTACCTCAATATAGATCATTTCTGTCTATTCATCTATAAAATAGCAAACATTCTAACCTTAAATATTGCTAATACTCAGAAAATGATAAATATTATCGTACTTATAACACGAGTTATACTTTACGCGCAAACCTGTTGCGACTGTATCATGGTCACCTGCAATGGCGTCAGCTGTTGGTCATCGCCCGACTGAATGAACAACGCTGTCTGAGGGGTGTTCGCTGACGAACTGCCGTCCTGCCTGCCCTGACGTTGCTGTGAGCCAAACTGAGCCTTCAGCAAGAACTGCAGCTGCGCCGCCGATAAGTGAATCGGAGTGTGCTGTACCGAGCCGTCGGTTGTGATGAACTGCTAAAGAGCATAGTGGTGCACTCGCCGTCGAAGATGGTACTGTAGATTTTAAGGCGAACAAACTCAATAACCTGGATATCCCCAGCACCGGTAATTAGTTGGATCGGTTGGCCAATTTGCGTCGCGTGCAAAAGTTGGCCACCTTGAAGCTGCACCGTCTGAGGAATGGTTGACTGTGTAGCAGCAGCGGCGGTCGTCAACGACAAAGCATTGCTGCTCGACGTAGATACTGAAGTCGTCAGGCCGCCTAACTGCAGGAAGTACTGCATCTGCTCAGGTCCCATTGTTACTCCCGTATTCGCGGTCGCTGCTGCGGCAGTAGAGGTAGCATCCATCTGAAAAAAAAAGTTAAATAAAAAAAGCATCTGAGGGATATTTATTCCGAACATTGTTACCACTTGCCCCACTTTCACTTCTTCCCGCGGTATAATGTCGATGAGAAAATCGAACTGATCGTACTTTGAGACTGCCTTCGAGATATCACTTTTCTGTAAAACAGTACACTTGATTAAATTTGTGCTTTCTAAATATTAGATAACAGAATTTGAAGGGAAAACCCACCACCTTATTTTGATCAAAACCCTGAAAAAATGCTGATCGTTGCTAGCAACATATAAGACATGCTACCGCAACCAATTACTGGGTAATGTCTCACCAGGAACAAAATGACAAGTAAAAGGACCGCTTACGACTAGAATGCAGCTCCTACAGGTAATATGACTGTGGGAAACAACAGAATAATGGCCATCTACCTGTATATACTGTCGTCAGATTCTTTGCCTTAAAGGCAAAGAATCTTAGGCTAGCGCCAAGCCAATGTACCATAAATACTGCCCATAGATTTCTGTAACAATTTTGAAACGGTTTGTAGCTACAGAAAGCAAGGACTGCACGAGTCCCAACCGATGTCATATTTACTGACAGATTCATGAAGATCCGTGCAGGTTATGTGCAGGTGGCACAGTAAGCGCATCCAGTGAGACTTACAGTGCCCATAAGAATCTCATGGGAAAAGATGACCCACTTTTCAGGTACCATACAGCAAAAGAAGGTCGAAGAGGAATAAAATGAATAGACACCTGCAGAGATTTTGGACATCGAATACATCAGTAATAACGATGACTCATAAGGTGACGTCTGAACGGCTAAATCGTGTAAATATATACATACATATATGATATTTGAACATTTTTCTTTCACGCGAGATTTTTTCTAGGGTTTTCATGTTTCTAACATGGAACTGCACAGCATATACATTCTGTTACAGAAATCACCAATGATATGAATATGAATGCTTATTTTTGTAAGGAGAATTTACCTCAGTCAAATGTAAAATGTACAGTTAAATATAATTCGAAAAGTTTAGGCTGTTTTGTTTTCTCTCGACCGTTTCTACGTTCGTAGAAAATATCTCGATCATTAACTTAAAACAGTCGTTATCAACAAAAAGTTTTGACCAGGTCTGGGGTTACACCAAAGTAAATCAGACCTGCCTTCATCGCCATCAAACAATCGCCATCAGCCGTCACTGCGCGCCGCCCACCTGCAATGTTTTACGTTTTCCGTCTTCTGTGTGGACCCATGCGCGTAAGGTCAGTTCCTCAATAAACATCTCCGCTGCTTTCGCCAACAGAATTGGTGCCTCTGCGCTAATCATCTGCGCCTTAACCTCTTCGTCTAGCTTCATGATTTTCTTTATCCTCGCTATTGGCAATTCTTGCGCGTGTGGATCACGAAACCTGTCCTAAAGAAAGTCATTAAATAATAATTTCATATCAAAATAAACTGCGTTATTATGGGCTTGCTAACAGACTGCAAGCTTGCAATAACGCCGGTAAAAATAAAGTCCCATTGTCACTTCTTCGGAAGTACTACGTGGAATAGCACATGGTGCTCTTCCTGCTAACAGCCTACGGGACCGTTTAAGCATGCCGTAGCTCCTTGGCATTTTACCAACTACAGAGTATGGGCACAAAACTGCGCAACTTGTTTGGTCGAACAAGTACATGTTCAAATACTAGTATATTTACTGGTCTCGGTTTGTAGACATATACTAACAATAAAATACTGTCAAAATACTGTTAAAAGTACTGTACTCATTTAATTCTTTTCAAAGTTATATTTGTAAACAAGTCATAAAATTATGTTACACGTAAACCGTACTAGTTAAGTAGTCACTGAAAAATATTTAAAAGAAAGGCTTAGCTGGACTACAGATAAAATATGATTTCGCCTAGACTCTGATTATCATATAGAGCCAGAGTGCACCAACAGACAACTATCGCAGTTATATATCGCTTAGATTACGGGATCCTTAGAACCATCGTCGAAAGAATTTTAATTAACTGCGA